TTTCTTTGGAATAAAGCGTTCCAGGAAACGAGGCTTCATCTTTCAGACTAATATGCTTCAGACAGTTGATGCACTCTATATTTATCCCGATGTTGGGCCGCTGCTGGGTTACTCCTGTCCACTGTTTGTAACTCAGTAATGACTGGGGGGCAAAGAGCATTAAGAAGTAAATATTCAGAGGCATGCTGGGTAATGTAGTGCTACTTTCCGAGCTATTCGCTTGACTTTAAGCTCGCGGATAAAGCGACAGTGTTCGCAGTGCGCTGACCCTGGAGGAGAGGGACCTAAACACGAAGCTCATTTTGTTCCCGTTTGACTTCAATCTGATTTGGTGTCGTGGACGTCCACGCGAGAGGCCCGACAGACTTCGTTTCCCACAATGCACCAGGTGTGAACCCGTGAAACGCTGCGCGGTGCGGACGTGTTTGACAGTAATTCAAAAATGGGGCAGCGGAGCAGATAAGAGTGACCGCGGCGGAGTGAGACGAAGGCCTCCAGACACCCCGAAGCTCCCCGAGCTCCTCCGACTCCTCCTGCTTTGTGTCCGTTTGCCTCTTTAGGTTGTTTGTGTGCTGCTCGCGGAGCCTCACGCGCTGATCGACAAAAACGGGAATGAATGAGGAGAGCAGACTGTGGAAAAGGTGAGCGCAGGGGAGCAGGTGAGGTCTCACTCTGCTGCCGTTTCCGGACACCGGAAATCATTCCGTCCAAAGAAAAATGCACAAAATCAGACTAACGGCGGTCAACGTGCCGCACGTGTTGTTGTGGTTGTGACGTATGTGTTGTGTTTTTGATTTTAGCTTTAAAATCAGCTGTTTGGTGGGATTTCTTTCAGTTCATGCCGGGTTAATGATTATGATCCATGACGTCATGTTTGTGTGAATTCAACACTTTTTCCACTGAAGCTTCAGACAAACGTGCAGCAAAACCGGAAAAGGCAACAAGTTAAAAAAAACCCAAAAAAAAGCCCCAACCCGCCAAGGGGGTCCAAGCCCGGACCGGCATCACGAGATTCATCAAATACACTTGAAGCTTTTTTCAGTGGGACCCAAAACAATCATTGTTTTCAGGGGTTTTCCTGAACAGGTGCTTAAATAGTACCTGCTGGCCGGGCTACAAAGCCATCTGAGCAGGTACTGAAATGTGATGTCATCAGACCGCATGCCACCGATTGGCTGCTCAGTGGTGTCACTCCTCATTCCCGAAAATTAAACTGCCATTTTTGAAACCCAATAACAAGGAAAACAGCTCCAAAAAAACGTGTTCCCCGAGTCTGATTAAAGCCACAGACCACCACCTTGTATGGATGAATTACAGTTAAGATAAGATAAGACTTTATTGATCCCATGCAGGGAAATTTGTGCATTACCTCGACTCAGGTAGAGATAGCAGAAGAAAAATACAAACAAATACAAAATAAATAAGATAATAAACTATATACAACGGTAGCATACACAGTATGTGATTATGGACAGAGGGTTGTTGAAATATGCAACAAATAAATGGAACTAATTAAAATAATTATCCTAAAAATATGTGACAAATTGTTTCTGAATTGATTTACCTACTCACTTTATTTTTTTTGCTAAAATAATCATTTTTTTTAAACCTTTTTTTTTCTTTTTTCTTTTTTTTTTTTTTTTAACTTTGCCGTTCCTTTTGCAAATTCAAAGTGTTTTCGTGAGGTCACATTTTTCAGGTTTTGGTTGATGGACGTCAGAATTCAAAGTAATCTTAGATAATGAAAGGAGCAGACAAATTATCTAAAACTTAATTTAATAACAAATTAGTTTGTTTATATGTGAAGTTTGCAATTTTGGCCGCTCCGGTCCTCCGTGGGTTCACACAGCGGGAGTTATGTTTGCACTGATGGCGGCGCTGTAAACCGTCGCAGACTCTGTGGGAGGACACCCGAAGGATGAATACCAGCCCTGCTGTTTCTCGTTATTCGGTTTATGATATTTAATTTCGTCGTTTTTGTTTCTGCAGTTTCTTTTTTAGGCTTTGATCTTCGTGAGGGCAGAAACCAGTGAGCCGAGCCCCTGAGGAGTGAGTCCTCTCGCGGTCACACGATCTTTGGCGCTAGCTACACACAGCTACAGCTAACGGGGACCAGCGGACCGAGCGGCGGCTCCTCGCTTCGGTATGATGCCCGGTGACAGCAGTATGGCCTCCCTGGTTCAGAGGATAGCTCGGCAGGCTCTCGCCACCTTCAGGAACGCACCCGCGGTGGGCGACGAGGCTTCCAAGGCCTTCCTGGAGAACCACGGCAAGCTCCGGAGCCTGATGTCGGAAGTGCGGGCTGCCGACCTGAAGCTCGTCCCACGGAGAGCCGAGGACGGCGGCGCGCCCCCTGCTCAGCACCCGTATCACCGCAGTGCGCCCCCGGTCACCTACATGCACATCTGTGAGACGGACCAGTTCAGCATGGGGGTGTTCCTGCTGAAGAGCGGGGCCTCTATCCCGCTGCACGACCACCCGGGCATGCACGGCGTGCTCAAAGTCATGTACGGGAAGGTCCGGATAAGCTGCTTCGACCGGCTCGAGCGACCGGCCGGGGGCGGGGGCGCGCTGCCCCGGGCGGAGATGGGCGCTCTGCGGCGCTACGTGCTTCGCTCCACCGGGGAGTACACGGAGGAGAGTGGACCCTGCGTCCTCTCCCCCGACCGGGACAACCTCCACCAGATTGACGCCGTGGATGGGCCCACAGCTTTCATGGACATCTTAGCCCCGCCGTACGACCCGGACGACGGCAGGGACTGTCACTACTACAAGGTGCTGCCCGGGGAGGGGGTCAAAGACTCGGAGCAGACGGAGAAGGAGGTCTGGCTCATGGAGATCTCGCAGCCTCCGGAGTTCTGGTGCGGAGGGGAGCCGTACCCGGGCCCGGAGGTGTGCCTCTGATCCCCCCTCCACCCTCCCGGAGCCCTGCAGCCTGGCTGGATCCACAAAGGATCTCCAGTCATCATCAGAGCCGCCAGCAGGCGCAGAGTAAAGGGCCAAATGTGGGATTAAACTGTGGTAAAGGGTAGAAATGATGCGTCAGCCCTGCAGCACACACTCTGCGAGCGTGAACTTTATTCACTCCAGCTTCTGCTTCAGTTGGACAAACATCGGAGCCTCAGGCAACAGTCAACGACTTCCTGCCTGTGCTGTGATCCCCGTGGATGTGACGGTCAGGAACCCACATCTGAATCATCTGTTGATGTGCTCACTTTCAGGAAGTAGTTTTATTTTTAAAAACTGAGGCTCTTTAC